AGCTTCTTAGTTTAAGATAGTCCCATTTGTCTCTGTTTTCACTTGCTTGGCCAGTGGCGTGACATCTTTGAAGATACCATTAACTTCAATATCATGGAAGGTTTTGCCAACTTTGTCTTCAATAAACTTTATGGATTCCGGTCTGATGTTGAGGTCATAAATCCATTTTGATCTTACTCTTGTGCATGGCGTTAGGCAGAGATCTGAGCCCAGTTTTTTGCATGTAGCCGTCCAGTTTTGCCAACACAATTTATTAAAGAGGCTTTCCCTGCTCCATTTCACTTTTCTTGCCCCCTTATCAAAGATTAGATGATCATATGCTTGGGAGGAGATGTCAGTATATTCAACTCTGTTCCATTGGTCTGCACCTCTGCCTTTGTTCCAGTACCATGCTGTTTTGATTATTGCTGATTTGTAGTAGAGCTTGAAGTTAGGCAGGTTGATTCCTCCCATTTTCTTTTTCCCAAGAATTGCTTTAGCTATTCGTGGAGGAATTTTGCTCCATGACTTGGATGCCAGCCACACATGCTAGGGGAAAAGGAAGCTCAGATAGAGAAGAGAGCACAAAATAAAGGGTATTGGGAGGATCCTCCCAGGGTGGGAGAAGCATGCTGAAAGTAGACTATAGACCAAACATGATTGCCACTCAATGCCTCTCTTGCAAAACACAGGACCCAAAAGAAGAGAGAGAGAACAAGGGGGAATGCCCTGCCACAGAGGCAGGGTGGGATGGGGGGATGGGGGGTGGGAGGGATGCTGGGACCCGTGGTGGTGGAGGATGGGCACTGGTAGAGGGATGGGTACTTGATCATTGTATAACTGAAACCCAAGCACAAAAATTTGTAAGTCTATAACTGTACCTCATTGTGTTTCACTAATAAAAAAATTTTAAAAAATTTTTAAAAATTTGCCAGAAAATCATGTGTGTATCTAATGTATTTTCATTCACTTGTTTGATTGACTACTGAAAGTTAATGAAAAGGAAGTCACCAAAAATCTGAACTGAGATAAGCTTGAGACTCAAAAGTCCTGTGTATAAGGATTGAGAGTCTCATAATTAAACTGTGTGGAAGTCCAGGCAGTTTTGGTGTCTTCCTTCAGTGCCTTGCAGATGCGGAGGCAAGACTCAAAAGTTGGGATAAATTCTACCAACATGCAACGGTGAGTGATAGGGTTTGGTGGTATGGTGATAATGCCAAAATATTTACTGGTTCCAGATCAGTGGTTCTCAAAACATGACCAGGAAGTGCCCCTAAGGTCTTAAAGCCTCTCAGAATTGTTCTATAAGATCAAAGTGCTTTCATGATAGCAGGTGTTTGTTTGTTTTTCTTTGTGTGTGTGTGTGTGTGTGTGTGTGTACACGTGTGCATGTGCGTGCATGTGTGTACACCTTAGGTGTATTCAGAAGAGTTTTACAAAGGTTATATGACATACTAAAATATTATTAATTCTCAAGGTCATAAAATATGTTCTAGAATAATCATGTGTTTATAACTTTTCTCTTTGGCGGGCCAGAGAAAGTGTGCAGGAGGTCAGACAATTGCCTTGCATGTGGCTGATCCCAGTTTGGTTCTCTGCACTATGTGTGGTCCTGTGAGCACTGCCAGGAGTGACCCCTGAATGCGGAACCAGGAATAAACCTTATGCATCACAGGATGTGGCCCTAAAACAAAAGAAACAAATTTAAAAATAAAAATTTTCTGATTTAGTTCCTAAATGGCAATACAGGTGGATGGAACTCACTTAAACACAGTCAATTTGAAGAATTTGAGAGGTTCCTGGGACAAAAAGACAAACAAAATCATTCAGCCTCTTAGGGGAGTGATACTGTCTAATGCTGCTGACAATCTCTGCTTTTGGATAAACCCTACTGAGACAAGAAGAGGTGGAGGACTGGGAAAACTAATGACTTGTAGAAGGCCACCCAACTAGAAGTTGCAAAGCAGAATCACAGATTCAAATCCAACTTTCAAATTCTTACCTATTCTCTTGATAGTGCTGTTATTAGGCCTGCCATCTATCAGAGAAATGCCAGGAAATTAGAAGCTCTAACTAGACTGGATTCCTATTGCCATGTAACCACCATCTGTAGCATGTCACCTGGTACTTTTATATGCAACCTCTCATCTGGTGTCTCACTGACCTCTCCACCTGCATTTAATCCAAAAGCCCATGTTACTAATTTGTGTCGTCTGTTTCAGGTGTTGGGATCGGAAATCGCTTAAAATGGTGTTATTCTGTTGAAATACATAGGGTTTGTAATCAAGTTACTGTCCACTTGAAAACAAAATAGATACTTCTTGTAAAAGAGCATAACCTATGTCACACGCATCTCTTCTGTGTCATGTAGATCTCTTCTTATGTGCATATAGTAAAGCCCTCACTCACAATGCCAACTAGGGAGCAAATGGCCTTTTTTTCATATTAAAGCATAACATTCTGATTCATTAAAGAATAAGATCTGCCAGTGAATTAACATTTATTTTTAAATGTGAAGTCCTTTCTTTTTTAAGTGTAATAGTGAAAATAAGCACATTACACTCGTTGCCCTCATTTTATGTTTATTTTAGTAATGTCTATTGTCCTCATCATTATCGTGTCTGGACCCTTTATGAAACTTAAAATGCCTCTGTGAACTTCTGTGTACATGTTAGATCAGTCATTTGAAACAATTTTGAAATTGTCATCCTAAAGGACTTTGGTACCCTGAACTTTTGGAAAGACACAGTTAAACGTTTTTATGCTTAAAATATCTTTGTATTTCAGCAGTATTAAGCATTTTTTAAAAATAATATTTAGACCAGTATTTGCTTGCCTTTTTTCTTCTTTCACCTCACACCAGACATAAGTTTCATAGAACTTGCAATCATACCTATATATTTATAATTGTATAAATCTATGTCTTGTTCAGTGGTTAGCATATAATAACAGTAAATAATGGCATGGAATGATACATAAATACATAAGCTATGTATATGATTACATGAACTATATATGTAGATGATATATATGTACTATATATGTAGATGATAATTTGAAGATTAAGTTGGAGGTATATTTATTATTCACAGAAATATTTGTATAGTTCTGTGTGTGTGTGTGTGTGTTGTGTATATTTTCCTCTTAGGATAACTTCCTTCCTTGATCATGTGAGGTCAGTTAAAAATTACAAATATATATGTAAATAATATATATAGAGAGAAAAAGGTGGGGGGCAGAGAGAGAGAGAGAGAGAGAGAGAGAGATTGCTAAGAATAAGATGCACACTGAGACCAGGATAAGAGATGTGGCAGTTTAATTTGAAAATTCAGGACAGAGCCCTCCATATTAGTAGATAGTTTTCTTGCTGCCGGAAGTGGCAGAGTTATTTGGCCATTAGAAAAGTCTCGTGTAATAGGAGATTTCAGGCGATGTCTTCTCAAAAGGAAGCATCTATCTCTTAACCTATTGCTAAAAGAGAAATACCATTGTCTGTTAATATTACTGGAACTAAAGATGAATGGTGAATTGGCCTTGATCTGACAGTGAGTTTGACTTTGATAGCTCATCACTTAAAAAGGTTCTTTTATATTTATGAAAAAAAGCATGACGTCAAACTGGGGTGGGTGTTGGTGGTGGAATTGATATCAATATTTAAGACCAAACCCAGGGTTTAAAAAAAGTCCTTGTGTGAACTTCTTTTTTTACATGCATAACTAATTAGCTTAGGTTATTATTAGCAAGGCTGCTGTTATAAAGTTTCCGGTGGTGTCTCGGGATACCTTGTTTATAGTGCCTTCTCTATGCCAGCCTGTCTTTGAATCAGAATTACAGAAAGTACAGGGAGTGAATAGTCTACCGTTTGCCATTGGACTGGGGCTACCTAAAACGTTGTTATGCTGGAAATGCTAGAATATAATCACTATCAGGTGAGCTTTATTCTTATTCATACTCGGTCTCTGAAATATAATGCAATAAATTGAGTAATTCACCTTTTCATATTATTGTAACAGGCATACATTTTATTATGTACAAGTCTGTTTTAATGCTGTTTGATACTATATGAAGTAATTCAATGTAGATTTAAACAAATTACGTATTTTTAGAATTTTCATTTTCCTAGTATGTAGCTGTTCTTTCTTCAGTAGCTCTCATTTATAGCCCATAAAGATTAAATTGTATTTATTAAGGGAAAAATGGTCTTTTATTTTATTGAAGTAACATTGTGCTATAAATTATATGTTTTAGGTATGCATCATTTAAAACCAATGTGTATATAATACAAAAATTCAATAACACTGATTTGTAAAAGCAAAGCATTTCCCGTTCTGTCTTAATGTTTGTAAGAAAGGAAAAATGTAATGATTATTGAATGTTTTGCCTTTAAAAACACATACATATAAGTGTTGATGTTAAAAAGAAACTGCTTAATGTGCTTTTATGTTGGGTTCAGGATCTTAATTAAAATGTTGAATAATCATGTCCAAATGAAAGTAGGAGGAATTAATCCACAATGAATTGATTTCGTTATCACGATGTTTCTGTTTATTTTCTACAACCGTTTTACGGTTGGGTTTTAAGGAATTTTAAATTTTTTTTTAACAATGAGCGCGTCAATTTGCAAACAAAAGTGAAATAAATTGAATTATGCTCCTTTTCTAGATTTTGGTTTGATCTTAATAAGCCTGTTAGGTGTGTTAGAAAAATTTTGCCCTGTGAATAATTTCATGTTTTAAATTATTAGCCATAGAAGGACTCAAGTGTTTTTAGATGTACCAATGTTTAGTAGGAAAAAAAAATAAAACAGTGTAAAGTATCACCCTAAATTCTAAGATTTAGACTTGAAGATTCAGTAATACCAAAGTCAATTATATTAGCCTAGTGCCTAGTATATGCCAGGGACTTAATAACTTATTCTGTTTCATGGACTGAGGAGTCTCATGTTTGTGCCTATAAAAAGAGATATCCCAAAATCATAAATTAACAGAGCTGTCTTCTCTTCCCTCTGTGGCTATGTTCAGGTGCAGACCCACCTTGAAAACCCTACCAAGTACCACATACAGCAAGCCCAAAGGCAGCAGGTAAAGCAGTACCTTTCTACCACTTTAGCAAATAAACATGCCAACCAAGTCCTGAGCTTGCCATGTCCAAACCAGCCTGGCGATCATGTCATGCCACCAGTGCCCGGGAGCAGCGCACCCAACAGCCCCATGGCTATGCTCACACTTAACTCCAACTGTGAAAAAGAGGTAATTCACGTCCCCTCCCTGCTCCTGCTCTCTTACACTACGCGACTGTCTGTTGGATATCATTCCCACACTTGACTGTGGACTCCTGTCTGTGCGCGTGGTTATGTTCAGTACCTTTGCCCCAGACCCCCAGCCTCTTCGGGCCGACTCTGGGTTATTGGGTGATGGCACGTAATGAAGACCGGGTCGACTCTAAGTGGGCTTTGGAGGCGAGAACCCTCCCTCTCCCAACCTGTTTCCGCTTTGTTAGCTCGAGTGTGCGCTTCTCTTTGATGCCTTTCCATTTCCGAAGCAGTGAAAATGCAGAGAGAGAAGGGAAGGTGGAGATAGCAAAAATAGAAAAGGTGTGGGACAGGCGGTTTAGAAGTTCCGCTTATTGTGAATGTCTAGAATATTATTTTTATTTCTCCCTGGATCGGGGGTTGGGGGAAGCACAAATGTGCATGGAGTGATTTGAATAATGTAACCCAAGAGCTTTGTAAAGAAGCAACAGTTCAATTAATTGCAGGATTAATTCAGTTTATTTTTTTTGGGGGGGGGGAGGAGTCACACTTGACGATGCACAGGGGTTATTCCTGGCTCTGCACACAGGAATTACTCCTGGAGGTGCTCAGGGGACCATATGGGATGCTGGGAATCGAACCCAGGTTGGCTGCGTGCAAGGCAAATCTGCTACCCACCGTGCTATTGCTCCAGCCCCTGAATTCAATTTCTTAATAAAATTACTGCTGCTTTTTCAGTCTTGATTTTATAAAGGCTGGATTGGAGATCAAGCATACTAAATTGTTGCATCGAATTTGAAGCATAAAATCCTGCGAAGAGAGTTGCAAATTTATGCCTGTTATTTCCAAACTATGAGTTGTGTTCCCTTTCACTGGGGTTTTACTGTACTCTGAAATATTCATGTGATTTCAGAGCTAAATTTTTTTAAGTCTGGTCAATTTTCATTTCAAGGGATCTCAGTCTTGGCTCCTGTGGCCAAACTAACCATCTTATTTTCCTCTGTATTTTTCATGGGTCAAACTAATCTGATGGAAGTTCTTCCTTCATTATCTCATTGCTCAGTCAGATTCCTCTTTGTTTAAAATCGTAGTTCATCTTGTTGCTGCGCCATCAGCCTCGCGTGAGCATGTCATTCACTGAAAAGTATTCTTCATTGGATATCCAGGCCATGAGTTGATTTTGCTTATATTTTTGCAGGGATTTTATAAGTTTGAAGAGCAAAACCGGGTGGAAAGCGAATGCCCCAGTATGAACACGCATTCACGCGCATCCTGCATGCAGGTACTGAATGACTCGGCTGCCCAAGGATGTGACACTTTGTAATGAGACTATTTATGGCTCATCTCACCTACTTGATGACTTAAGATCTCTATCCCCAACCCCCATCCCTTGACTTTTTGGTTTTGTTTTGTTTTCTCATAGGGGAAGCAAAGAACAGGGCCATTTTATTCATGGTGTTTCATGATTTAGCAATTATTAGGGAAATTAAGCTGAAAAAAGAATTTTCCCCCTGAGTTGCTTGAAGTCATTAAAAAGTATGTAAAATTTAAAAATCTTAATAAATAAACTGTAAAATGCTGGGCTTTATTTAAATACCATTATCAGTGTACATTATATACATTTGTATGGTCAAAACTTTGATCGACTCTAGTATAACCAGGAAGAGAGAGAGAGAGAGAGAGAGAGAGAGAGTGTGTGTGTGTGTGTGTGTGTGTGTGTGTGTGTGAGAGAGAGAGAGAGAGAGAGAGAGAGAGAGAGAGATTGTTTTGTAACAAGAAATCTCATGGAACATATGTTAAGGAACTTATTCACTTAATTGACTATTTTTCTCAAATAACTAAAGGTTCATTTATGGTATATTTAATGGATATATATCATGTTATGTCCATTTATTAATATATGTACATTTTATAGTGACATATAAAGGAAAGAAAAGTAACAAGGAATATAGCCATTTAGCTTCCTATATTTACCATTATCAATTGCATAACTTTTTCATACAGAAAAAAATTTTTTCTTTAATTTTCTTTAATTCACACACTGGGAATGTAGTATAGTGAGTAAGGCACTTGCCTTGCACCTGGCTGGGCTGACCTGGATTCAGTCCCTGGCACCTATATTGTTCCCCAAGACTGTCAGGAGGGATCCCTAAGCACACGGGTTCAAGTTAGTCCTTTAGTAGCCAGGAGTGGCCAAAAACAAAAACCAGAAATGAATAACAATAAATTCACGGATTTTATTTCTGTACAAGTAAAGATTTAGAAAATATTCAGATATTCCCTGGCCCATCTATCTGTTAACAACTCAAGTAGAAAATTATTTCAAAATGAAGCAAATAAAACTAATACCCAGAAATGGAACTTAATACACAGTGCACTGATAGTTATTCAAAACTAACCTCCTAATGTTCTTCTCACTCAGTCTTTGATTCTGTTTCCCTGGCACAGTGAGCACTTTCTATTATTTATCCTGCAATGTCAAATCATCCAAAAAAACAACGCATATTATTCATCCCCATTTACAAACACAGTGAGACTCAAAGAAAGTAGGAGAATGAGGATTCCAGTTGCCCTGTGATGTTGGTGCTTGTTCTCCTTAATTGGAAGTGACAAAAAGGCACAGAGGGCATCCTTCTGAGTTCTGAGATTTCATTATGTACTTATGAAGCACTATTAACATCCAAGCATGTGTGTACACACACACACACACACACACACACACACACACCAGTTCAAATACATAAGGTGTTTACCAAGAAATGTTTTCACAGGCTTGTCTTTGCAACTGCTGCAATGCACATGTAATCACAGTTGTTTATAGTCATAACTGATGTTTTGGTACTTCAGGAATAAAATTGATCTAGAGGGAATGTCAGTGCCACGACTGTAATGATAACCTCGTCTTGGTGTATTCCTTGGGGAGCACTGAGCACACTGGCAGCTGTACAAGGAGAAACTTATTTTACAAGTCACTGTGAGATCACTGCAGGACAAGCAAGGGGTCTGAGAGGCACAGTTCCCTGAGTTCTTGGGAGCAGAGAGCCCCATTACCATGTGTGTTTTCCTCCTTCGAGGGGAGTTGGTTGATTGTCTTGAGAGAAAAAAGCAAAAGACAGCTCTGACTCAGGATACGGTTTCTTGCTTTTGGCAGGCAGGTTAGCAGAGCAGTTGAAAGCATGTGTTCATATTGTGGCTTTTACCCTTTTTCAGTGCGTGAATTTGCACAAATGTCTGCTTATTGATCTTACTGAAAAATTGTCATAATATTACCTCCACTGATAGGGTCATTTCCAGATAATAGGTTGGCCCTTGCACAGCCCTGATACCAGTGCCTGGCTCTTAATAATTACCAAGACCTGGTTTCAGACAGTATCCTTAGCATCGATTGGGTTTATTGCTCTTCAAAAAAAGTTCCTATTTTGGGAGGAAGAGGACAGTGACTTCCTAAAATCTAACTAAATATTATTACTATTTTAGGTAAGAAAAGATCATGGATCTCATCTGGGTTGCTTAGGTTTTGCTTATACCTGTCTCTCTTCCATTTCCCTCTTTCCTACAGATGGATGATGTAATTGATGACATCATTAGTTTAGAATCGAGTTATAATGAAGAAATCCTGGGCTTGATGGATCCTGCCTTGCAAATGGCAAATACGGTATAGATCACTTTATTTCTTTTTTTAAAATAGCAAAAGTCTCGTTATCTTTTCAGTGTTTTTGCCTTTTTTCTGGACTTTTGGTTTCTTTGCCAAGTATTCTAAGTAAATTTTTAACAATAAGGGAATTATTTCAGGACTTTCACATGAGAAAATAAAATTCCTCATTTATTTCTTGGGAACCATTCCCTTTCATGTCCACTTCCAGCAGGAGACTAGACAGTTCCCAGTGACATCTAATGCCAATTCAGTTCACTGCCTCTAAGAAAGTAACCGTGGAATGCTGTGATATTCTTGTTGGTTTAAAAAGTTAATGCTGTTTTTAACTGAAGTACCATGCTATATACATAAGTGATTGCAAGTCATTCAGGTTTTATCTCTCACTAGGAAAATGTATTCCAATTTTAATTTAAAATCTCGTGTTCACATTTGCTCTTATATATGCTATTTGGTTCTCTCTATGATTTAGAGCATTATTTTGTTTCACTTCTTACATGTGTGTTAGGCTACTATATTGCCAAAGTCTTATTGCAGATGTTATTTTGCCTTTGCAGCTGTTCTGTGAATAAAGCTGTGAGTCAAGTTGGGATGGTGTTGTTGCCCTTACTTTTAGGGTTGAGAAAGGTTAGCTTAACCTGCCCAAGATGGTTGAACTTAGATATGTTACAATCAGGACTTCTCAATATATTTGGAATGCCTGATCCTATTCTCTTTTTTTTTTTTAAGAAAAGAGAGATGCCAGCATGAGACTAGCCTAGTCTTTAGCAACTAGCACTTCAAACAGTAGCTTCCATAGTGGGGACTGGGTGTTAAGTAGCATTGTTATCTAACTGGTTTCTGGTTTGCAAGATGAAAAACTTCTGAAGCTCTGGGTGACATCAGTGTGACGCTGCTCACCTGTACACATAAATGGATACAATGACAAGTTTTTACAATTTTCACCAAAATAAAACATTTTCTCTTCACACTAATGTCGAGTAGTAAGTTCCCTCATCTAGGGAACATAATCGCATTTAACTTTTTTATTACCAAAAGTCCTTAGCAAACTAAATTTTCACAGCACTTTCCTTTCTTTTCTATCTTGGTTTAATTCTTTAAGATCAATTACCTGAAGTCGTAAAAAGTGAGGACTCACTTAAAACTTCTAAGTTCTTCAAGGATTTTCAGGTTTTATTAATTTCCTTCCCTCTTAAACTCACATTTTGATTTTAAAAAAACTAATTATTCAATCATTTTGATAAATGTTTCATTTCATTTGCAAAATCACCCCTAGTGTCTTTGAGTCCTTAGTTGGCTTCTGGTGGAACCTTTCTACTTCCAACTTTGGACATCCCATGGGGCAAACTGTACTTGTCAGCAATCAAAATCCTAGGATGACATGAACAAATCACTAAGAGCTTCGCACAAGGGAATTTGTAAATATACCCAAAGACCTGGGTTTAGTTATACTGTTTTCACTGCCCTCGTTGCTTAATTAGCAATGGACCAGTTGACCCAAAAAAAACGTCATGATGAGCTTGGTCATTTTCTTGTTGGTTCAGATGGGTACCTGGGCAAATTCAAGAGGACATAATAATTTGTACTGTCTTTAAAATTCATTGTGTTTTGGGGCTAGAGAGATAGTATAGTGGGTAAAGCCCTTACCTTGCATGTGGCTGACCTGGATTCAATCCCTGGCAACCTATATGGTCCTCTGCATGCTAGGAATCATTCCTGAGTGCAGAACCAGGAGTAATCCCTGAGCACAGCCAAGTATAGCCCTAAAACAAAAAACAAAAAGAAAATCATTGTTTTTAATGGTGAAGACCTATGAAGTTGTGTGTTGAACTTAATACTCGGTGTCTTAACCTCCTTTTGTATATTCTCTGTATTATATACACACACACACATACACACACTGCTCAACATTTAGCTATTTGAATGCCATGAAGGAATTGAACCAATACAAAAGAAGCAGAAAATCACAATGGTTAGGAGTTGGAGATTGGGACCAAACATGTGTTCTAATTCTAAATTTTTTGCTATTTTACCTAGAATATTACTTAGCTTCTTTTCTTCTTTTTCCCATCCATAATATAGAACTAATATTTTGGCTTACATCACATGGTCATCTTAGAAAATATGTGTTATGTAGCATTAGAAATATAAGTCATACACAATAATATCTACATTTTTAAATAAAATTTATTATATATCAAAGAATTTTGACATTTTATTCAGGGCCTACATTGAGAATCTGAAGTAGGTCAAGCTGTATATAAAAATAACATACTTAACAATCTATGTCATTTTCCTCATGGATCTCTTTATAAATTTGAGATAGAGGGCTCTGTTGGTATATAGAGAATTTATCCTAATACAGGCTGACTGAAGTTCCTTCTCATGACTACCTTTGCTTCTCTCCTTTAGACAGAATATCTCCCACGTGTTCTCATACTGCATTAAAATAGATTTTAATTTTAATTTTAAGTACTCATTTCTGATCACTCCTACAAAACTGATTTATTAAGCTCCTAACAATGTGCTCTGGGTGAAACTTTTGCATGCAGTATAGTAAAACGAAATTTCTATTCTCCTAAGAGCTTACTAGTCTGGAAAGGGGAGACCATCTCAACGCTGAATGAAAAAGCAGAGTTCACAAGCTGTCTGAGGCTGGCTCAGAGTAATTCCCAGATAGGAATGATCCTCTGGGTAGTGTTGAATTAATTCCTCACTGAGAACCAGAACCTGCAGAACTCCGAAGGACTTATGAGGGCAGGAACCTGGTATCAGATTCTCTCTCATTTTAGCATTTTGCTATTTCGGGGATGGGGGATAGTCAGCCCTAGAGATTTGGGGCACGGACTCTGATCCTGGCATCTGAGTTAAATAATTCTCTTAGTGAGTTATCAGACCTCTTTGCTTCATTTCTCCTGACGCCAAATAGGGATGATAACAGCATAGAACACAGTAAAACTCACGTGAAAATTTTGAGTCAAGATACAAAAAGCATTTAGTACAACATCCTGGTCCTTCTATGGCCTCGTTAAGTTTTGATTCTATTACTGAGGATAAATTTGGGTTTGGATTTTGAAAAATTAATCTGCTACAGCTTACCAGCAGCTTGATTTTTTTTCCCACAGTAAAGTTCAAAGTTAATGTTCTTCATATTGAACTTTTTTCCCCCTTATGATTCTTTGAAATGCTTTATTTCAAGTTAATTACTCAAAAAAAAGTGAAAGGAACACTTAGAGAGGGAACTATCCTAAGGGAATTGGAGTCTAGAAATAACTATTCTGAGAACACAAGGGCCCTCTTGTACCATCACAAACAAAGCATAAAAGTCCCAGTTTACTTGTGCTAACAGTACCCAATTGATATTCAGAGAAGGGCCCCATCCCTCTAGGAAAAAAACTGATAATATTTTATAATTATCATTTACTTGGAAAAATATTCATTTTGTTGGAGCCAAAGTTTGGAGCACATCTGTTTTCTCATTATTTGTCCCAATTAGTCTGTGAATTTCATCCATCTATTCACAGCTTGTGCACGGTGGTGCAAGAGAGTCTCTACCATTAGGTGAAGGCTGGGTAGAAACAGAGGAGAGTGGCCGAAGAAAGATATTAGGGGTCAGACACTTGCCTTATATGCAGCTGATTCTGATTCTATTCCCTGCACTGTATTTGCTCCCCTGAGCACAAAGCATGAATAATGTGAGCACAGAGCCAGGAGAAAGCCTTAAGTATAGCCAGGTGTGATTCAAGCCCCTTCCCAGTTCTGTTTTTTTTTTTTTTTAAGGAGATAGAAATCATGTTTTTGTTAACAGAAGATGCCTCTTCTGCCTTACCTAGCTACATATTACTTTGACCTAATTATGGAGTTAACTGTGTTTTATGGGGGAGGTTTTTGAACCCAGAAAAGTAACCATAAGGTCCTATCTTAAAATATACATGGCTAGGAGACTATTTTTAGTTAAAAGCCATATTATTTTAACTAATCATACTTTTTAATTGCTTCAAGAACTTACAGCCATTAGTATTAGAACAAAAGCTACTGTGTAGAACATAGTCTCCCAGACTAGGCATTATTAGACTGGGAGATGGATAAATCTTGATTGGAACAGTCATTGAAGGATGTCCAGCAGCATCTCTGGCCTCTTATGGCATGCCCTGAGCACCCTTCTCCCTTCTCTCCCTCACCCCCCAGCTACACATACTAACTATAATAACCAGATATATATAGACATTGACAGATGTCCTCCTGAGGGCTCTGTCCTCCTCAATAAAGATTTGGGCGAATGAGTAGTCCCTTCAGACCTGCAACTCATAGTCCCTTAAAAATTGTCTAATTGTTGACGGGATACTCAGCAGTTAAAAAGGTAGCAATTGCTTCTGCTGATCGATAAAGATTAGCTTGACAGTCCAGTAAAGTGCTTTATTATTATTTTTGTTTTCTGCAGTGCCAAATGGGCTGGAGCGATAGCACAGTGGTAGGGCGTTTGCCTTGCATGCAGCCAGCCCGGCCGAGCCGGGTTCGATTCCTCCACCCCTCTCAGACAGCCCGGCAAGCTACTGAGAGTATCTCACCCACACGGCAGAGCCTGGCAAGCTCCCCGTGACGTATTCGATATGCCAGACACAGTAACAACAAAGTCTCCAATGGAGACGTTACTGGGCCCGCTCGAGCAAATCGATGAACAAGGGGAGGAGAGTGTTTGTTTTGTTTTGTTTGCAGTACCAAGCACTGAACCTAGGGCTCACACAGTTGAGGCATATGCTGTACTGCCAGGCTCCTACCCCACCCTCCAATGCTGTCTTTTCTAGAAGATTACATTACTGAGCCTCTCAGCTTATCGGTTACTTAAATGGCAGGCACGGTTTCATCTATTTTATCATATTTAATGCTTCCAAAACTCTGAGATGAGTGATGCAATTGCCACTGTCTGAAGGGGCCACCACGTCCCAGAGGTTCATATCACACGGCAGGTTAGCATCAGCAGGATCTTAATCTGAGTCTGACTTTCAGGTACATGCTATACTTGCTGCACTGATAAGTGTGACATTCTATGTGGCTCTGAACAGCTGAGTTTTCACTTGTAAAGACTTGGATCATCCTCCGTGCTCAGTTCACGTTAAGGTTCTGAGTTCAGTTTCTTTTTAAAAATTTTTTTTAATTAAATTAATTTATTTTTGGTTTGGGGGCCACTCCCAGTGATTCTTGGGGTCACTCCTGGATATGTGTTCAGGAATTACTCCTGGTGGTGCTTGGAGTAGGGGTGAGAACCATATGGGATGCCTGGGATAGAACCCTGGTTTGCTGCGTACAGACCAAGCACCCTGCCCGATGTACTATCTCTCCAGCCCAGAATTCAGTACTTACTGGAACTCGAACTGGAGTAGAAAATTAGTTTCTAACTAGCTAATAGCAGCAAGTTGACAATGGCTACACCACATGCCAATACTTATGAACCTTCTACCAAAAATTTCTCTGTTCAAGCATTGCAAAAACTGTGACCTTCCTTACCATAAAATTGCCTTTCTGGTCCTCTGCCTTGTCCAGAGTAGGCACCCACAAAATGCTATTTTCCCCAAACGAGGATTTTGGCAGGCTCCCGGCTGCCCACTCCTAATCAGCAAGTATTGAAAACGCTGAAGCAGAAAATCTTTTCAAGGACTAGATAGAGGCTTATAAACTGCTTCTTCAATTGGAAGCGATGATGTCTGACCTCAGTAGAATGCCTGATAAGCCATCTTTTTACAGATTTTAATTCCTCTCCCTTCCAGCCCTGCTCTGCTGTCAATCCTTGCTACTGATCTTAGTTATTTATTAACTCCTCTCCATCCATTTCTCCAGTCTTGCTTGTCTGTCCATTTGTCTTCCCAGTCTCTCGCCTTCTACTCTCTCTCTCTCTCTATCTATCTATCTATCTATCTCTCTCTCTCCTCTTCTTTCTCTCCTTATTTCCAGCCTATCCTTGGTATCTTTGGCTCTATCTCATGTATGGTTTTTCAATTCTTCCATTGTCTATATTCCTCTGCCTCTCTCTCTCTCTCTCTCTCTCTGAATTGTCTTGCATGCAGCCAACATTGCCGACCTGAGTTCGATTTTTCTGCCCTCTCAGAGAGCCTGGCAAGCTACCGAGAGTATCTCACCTGCATGGCAAAGCCTGGCAAGCTACCCGTGAGGTATTCAATATGCCAAACACAGTTAACAAGTCTCACAGTGTTACTGGGCCCGCTCGAGCGAATCGATGAACAACGGGAGGACAGTGACAGTGACACAGACCACTTATTTTTAGAGTATGCTGAGAAAATACACTGTGGTCCAGGAAAGGTTAATACTCAGGTTATCTATGCAGTTTAGAGTTACAGGGGCTTTAGATGAAGCTTAGCAATGAAGCACTTGCATGTACATGGGAGGTCCTGAATTTGATACTTGCCACTGTAAAAATTAACATCAAAGAAATAAAATAAAATGGTTTTGGTGTACATATATTGCTCATTTGCATTTCATTTCTTTCCTTCCTTCTTTCTTTCTTTCTTTCTTTCTTTCTTTCTTTCTTTCTTGTCTTTTTCTCTCTCTTCCTTCTGTTCTTCCTTTCTTTCATTCTTTCCTTTTTTCTGCTTTCTGCTTTCTTCTTCTTTCCTCCTCTTCCTCTTTCTTTTTTCTTCTTCTTATTTCATTGTCCTTGAGGAGGAGGCTGGGTATGGGGTTTTGGGAGAGTGGGGCTCCCAGGCTATCCTGGTGATACTAAGCCAGCAGTATGGACCTGCTACTTCTGTCGTGGGCCTAGAAATGCAATGCTGCTTGGGTCTGTCAGTGTTTGGGGATCACCAGAACTATACCTGGTGATATACAAGAGGCTGCCCAGTGCTTATAATCAACCTCAGAATCTCACACCTGCAAATGATAAGCTTGACTACTCCAGCCTCAGAAAATACTCTTAAAAAACATAATTGAATCACCATGAAATACACAGTTTCAGTCATACAGTGTTCCAACATCAGTCCCTTCACCAATGTATGTTTCCCATCACCATTCTCCCTCCCAACCCACTGACCCCAGCCTGCCTCTATGGCAGGTGCTTTTCTTCTCTCTGTCTCTGTCTCTGTGTCTCTGTGTCTCTGTCTTTGTCTGTCTGTCTGTCTCTCGCTCTTTTCTTTTGGCATTATGATCTGCACTACAGGTAATAAGAAGTTATGATGTTTGTCCCTTTACCTACTTTCAGTACGCAGTTCTTGTCCAGAGTGATCATTTCCAACTAGCATTGTCCTAGTGGTCCCTTTTCTTTCCTAATGCTCTCCCCACACACCACCACCACTACTTGTGGCAAGCTTCCAGCCGGTGACCAGTCTTCCTCGCCCTTGTTTCTGCTGTCCTTGATTATTGGTCTCAAATTATGATTTTTTTTAATGTCCCACAAATGAGTCCAATCATTCTATATCTGTCCTTCTCCTTCTGACTCATTTTACTCAGCATGATACTCTCCTTCTCCATCCATTTAAAAGCACATTCCGTGACTTCATTTTTCCTGGCGGTTGCATAGTATTCCATTGTGTAAATGCACTATAATTTCTTTGTCTAGTCCTCTGTTCTTGGGCATTCAGCTTGTTTCCAGATTCTGGCTATTATGAATAGTGCTGCAATGAACACAGAAGAAGCAGATGGAAATTCAGCTGCATTTTGGGGGCCTCCAGAATATTTTTCCAGGAATGGTATTTCTGGGTCATATGGAAGTTCAATTTCTTTTTTTTTTTTTTTTTTTTTTTGAGGAATGACCATATTTCTTTCCAAAAAGGTTGAACCAATTGGCATTCCCACTAGCAATGAATGACAGTCCCTTTTCCCCCACATCTGCACCAGCACTGGTTGTTTTTGTTCTTTTTGATGTATGCCAGTCTCAGAGGTTCCTTTTTTAAAAACTAGCCTACTTGCCCATTATTTATTCTCTGGCAGATTGTCACAACACAGTAACATGTTTTATATACAGGGCACACACACAAGCACACACATATACATACACACAAAATATATGATTTGTATTTCTAGAACTTGGTGAATAGTTCTTTCTTGGGCTATTGCATTAATATTTAAATTTACATTTTTGATTTTTTAAAAAAAGAAATGTCTTGTAGTTCATCCCAAATCTGAAACTTCAGAAACATAAGAGCTAAAAGTATAGAATTTGGATATTTATTTATCAAACATCCTGGCAGATTTACAAGTTTCCACTTTCTGACTCTCTTCCGGTCGTGAGCCCTGCTTGTTTTACTGTGCTATGCTGAAAAGAATAAACTGAACATACACAGAGCAAGACTTATTCTGTAAAGATTATTTATTTCATAAAAATACTCAGTGAAGGCCATAGAGATAATACAAGGCACAAGGCACGTCCCTCGCATGTGGCCAACTTCAGCTTGACCCCTGGCTCTGAGCAAGGTCCCCCAAGCACCGCCAGGAGGGATTCTTGAATACAAAGCAGGGAGTAAGGCCTAAGTACTGCTGCTGGGTGTGGCCCCAAAATTTAAAAAAAATTAAAAAATAATTTACAAAAGCAACAACAGTGAAATGGTTGCATATAATCAAAGTCACTTTGTATCAGTTTCTTAGCAAAAGAAGGCCTTGAAATGTGTTTCAAAGGCATTTTAAATGATCACATTTTCTGGTATGCATATGTCTAATAGGGAATATAGTTTGCATCCTATGTTCAGGATTTAAGTATGGCCTGAGAAAAGCAGTAAGAGGCAGAATGGAAGAGGTAATGTGTAGCCTGAGAACCTCTGTTCTCCTTGTCTTTCAACTCCCGCTCATCGCAGAGTGTCTTATCAACTTGTTGGGAAATAGAGCCCTCTCCTTAGCTACAGTCTTAGTTTCTAGTGTGTTCGTTTAAAAGTTGTGTTAGGAAGAAATGGCTGATAACTACCAAAGGAAGGACACATTTGATTCTATCTTTATTTCGTTCATATTTTCAACATTTTATTAATACTTCAAAGGCTATCCAGTCTGAAACTAAGAGAATATGGTAAAAAGGTAACTGACACAAAAATATGGTTGGGTAATAATAGCTCTAGGAATTGTTTGAATTCAGTTGGGAATGGAAAGTTTCTGTGATGGAAATAGTGAGAAATTTCCCTGTAGTTAGTATTTAAACATTTCCTTCCTGAAAAGGAATTGAAATGAACTAGCAGGGAAATGAATAAATGACATACGTAAGTTAGTGTTAAGAAACCACTGTTTGCCTACGCTGGAATATCTAAGACATAACTAGAGAAAAACAATCTTAAACTAGCTTAGAAAGGATTTTTTTAAAAATATATATATATAAAAAAAAATATATTTTTTTAAAGTCAGTGAGCTCCCTCTTGTGGCTTTGTGAAAAATTTCAGCTTCAAGGAAAATTGCTTTTGCTTTTAAGAACAAGGATACTTCTGATTAAAAAAAAGAGAGAGAGAGAGAGAAAATTTGGAGAAGAGATAGAAAGTAGGAAATTGATTGATCAAACAATTTATTTTGGTGAATAGTAACCACTTTGGGCCCTATTTTATAAAGATAGCCAATATTTTCTTGTAGAAAATCTTTTACATAAAGATATACTAGATAAAGCATTTTCCATATTAGTCATTGCCTCCATGGTAAAAAGTAAGCCCGTGAACTAAATTGTATAACCACTTAGTATATGTGTAAAATATGGGTTCTCTTTTCTTTTTAAGGGAACTAATTACAAAAATGCATTTGTGAGTGAAGATGAAGGTGAATAGCTTATCTTAATTTCAAAAAATAACAACTTGTTGTACAAACCATTTCCTTTAAATTAAACCTGGACGATGTCATTATCTTTTATCTTAATAACTTAAGAGTAATGCAAGGACACATTTCTCCCACTGTTTCTCTTTGCAGTTACCTGTGTCTGGAAATTTGATTGATCTTTATGGAAACCAAAGCCTGCCCCCTCCCGGTATTACCATCAGCAACTCGTGTCCAGCAAACCTTCCCAACATCAAAAGGGAGCTAACAGGTAACTGTTGAGCAAATATGACCTATACTGCGGATGTGCTGTTGATTGTTTGAGAAGCAAAGTGACCTCCTGACTACTTCCAAATTCCAGAACTTTTTTTTACTTTTTTTTTTTTCACGTTGATGCAATCAATGGCTAAAATACTGAGTGTTTTTTTTTTTTTTTAAAGAAATCAGTTTTAGGGGCTGGAGCGATATGATAGCACAGCAGGTAGTGCGTTTGCTTTGCACGCGGCCAACGTGGGTTCAATTCCCAGCATCCCATATGGTCCCCTGAGCACCGCCAGGAGTAATTCCGAAGTGCAGAGTCAGGAGTAACCCCTAAGCATCGCCGGGTGTGACCCAAAAAGCAAAAACAAAAAAAAAAATCAGTTTTACCACAGACTGTTTAAAACAGGAATGAAATACCTATAGCATATTCCTTTTCTTTTTTTTTTTTTTTTGAAAAAACTTTTATTCACTGAGGTTCTGTGATCTACATTATAGTTGATGACGGTTTCCTGTGTGCTATTTTTAGAATTTATATTTGCAGGTTCCACCTTGCAGTTTATTAGGATAACCATTTGCTCTTTACCTCCATCATCCCGTGACTCACATCATGTCTGTCTGGGGCTGTTGTTCTTTTTGGCATGGGCAAAGCTGTCAGCACTTCCAGTTGTAAAGTATCACCCCTGAATCTGGTGTTGATACAACTTGCCAAACCCGTAGAGCGTTTCAGTTTCAGAACCCTGATATCTGAAATTTTCTTTGTCACACACTCTAGCCCATAGTTGGGATAGAGCAAGAGTGTATTTCTCACATCTTCGTATCTGTCTTGTTATTTTTGCTATATTACATGGACAGAAAAATTGTTGAGTAAAAAAAAAATGAGTATTGTATGCTCTTGAGGCAACTGTGAAATTACCTATTTTGCCATTTTGTTTGATGCCTTAGGAAAGATTTGGACCATGAAAGCACAATAAAATTATATTAAAACTGTAAGGACAGCTTACGATCCCCACCTCATCCCCCTTTGTATTGGGTCTTGAATGATTGGGCCAACAGAACGTGGAATATGGATTTGATGCAGAGAATTCCTGTTCTGATCAAGGGTGACAAACACACTTCTTCAAGAATTCGTGACAGGATAAAATACTGTATTTTAAATTTTGAATTAAAAATTAATTAAACCACAGAAAGCCAACAAATGGGGAAGGAAATTTGTGCTGTAAGTTTAAGAAAATGTGGCCAAATAAAACCTATATTTTAAAACTGAGAAATGATTAATTTAGAGTAAGAATAATATTTTTTCATGAGTAGCTCTGTCGTCCCATTGTTCATCGATTTGCTCAAGCGGGCTCAGTAACGTCTCCATTGTGAGACTTGTTATTGCTGTGTTTGGCATATTGAATATGTCACGGGTAGCTTGCCAGGCTTTGCCGTGTAGGCGAGATACTCTCAGTAGCTTGCTAGGCTCTCCAAGAGGGGCAGAGGAATTGAACCCGGCTCTGCCGGGTCGGCTGCACGCAAGGCAAACGCCCTACCGCTGTGCTGTTGCTCCAGCCCTTTATATAAGTACAGTTTAAAATTATATTTATGATTGTATCCTCAAAAATCAGACAACTGCTCATATGTACAGCTAAAATCAAAGCACAAACCTTGTACGCATAAGGACTTGTATTTGATTACCAGCACCAAAGAATAACTAAAACTTGCCTTTTAAAAAAAGACAATAAAACTAAGATATTGTTAAACAAAAGAATGTGTAAGTAAAAGTTGCCTATCATTTGACAAAAAAGGGGGGAAATGTAGATATATAGATAGATATGAGCATAGTCTGTATATGCACGCTTAAAAAATTATTTCAGTTTAATAAATAATTGTTCCTAAAGGTCATTAGAAATAATTTTATTCTAACAGGTTCTAATGGAACCTTGTTCCTTGTGTAAAGTTGACTTCATTTCCATGACTCAATTAGAGATCCAATTTAGGAACCTCCCTGACTAGTTTCCTCCCCTCCCCCCCCCACCCACTACCCCCCTCAGTTTTATTTTATTAAAGTACTGTGATTTACAAAGCTGTTCATGGTGAGCTTTAGAGGTATAATGTTCCATCACAGACCCCCCACCAGAATCAATTTTCCTCCACCAGTAGTTCCCCGATTCCCTCTCCCACCCTCCACCCCCACCCCGAGCCACCTCAACAGGCACCTTTTTATATTTGCTTTTTAAAGTTGGGATTTCATATCAGTGTATTAAAAACTCTCCAAGACAGATGGAAGAGTTGCATTACCCTAAAAGAAAATTTGACTCCTGATTATAAACTATTAGCGGCAAATGTCTGTAGTTTTCCAGGTACTAATTTCTTTCATAATTTGTCTGTATTTTTGTGGTATGTTTGAATGTTTGAATTTTTGCTATTTTGTGGGGAGGGGTAGTTTTATGAGAGATGAGTTTTTGCAGTCTAATATAGATTTCTTTAGAAAAATCTGTGAGGTTTCTAAAAGTCATAATTTTTTTAAAAAAATCAATTCATACTTAATGGAGTCAATGAATCATTCTTATGCCTAGAAAAGTGAAATGTTTGTAGTTTACATTGCTGTGTGCCTTGAACAGTTCCACTTTCTAATTGCTTCATTCACGTGCACAGCGTGTATTTTCCCCACAGAGTCTGAAGCGAGAGCATTGGCTAAAGAAAGGCAAAAAAAGGACAATCACAACTTGAGTAAGTTAATTTATGTTAACGATATTGTTGAAATTATTGTTTCCGCTTATATCGGTATGTTGGAAAAAAGTTAATTTTTCTAGTTGAAAAAGGTACATTTAGTGGGTGAAAATATGCATTTCACAAAAATCATGCCTTTTATTTTCTCAGAACTAATTGTAATTTTTTAATATATATTTGTTTTCATGTCCTGAAAAGTACTTATTTTCCTTGTTCATAGTGATATATATGTATGTGTATATATATATATATATATACATATATATGTATAATTTTTTTTTTTTTGGTGTGTGTGTGAAAGTTGATTCCCAACTACCCAATTATAAGTTTTGCTCACACTGGAGTTTATTTACAAAAGGGGATTATGGCTTATCTCCTTTTCCAGTGAGATTTGGAAGAGAAAAAAAGAAGAAACCTACTGGAGGGGCCGTAATACGTGGTAGAACAGTTTTCCTCATTTCTGATCTTACCTGTGCCTTTAAAAACTAAATATTATTTTAATACTATTTTATACATACCTATTTATTCAAGCTCTTTCCTGTGAAGACTTAAATCATTTTATTTCATAAACAAGAGAGATGACAGGGTAATTAATATGCAAAGGATTAAGCTGAAAAGTAGAAGATAGTTCCCGTGTATATGACTTTCTAGTCCTGTAGTTGACTGTCATCTTTTTTTCTAAGTTGTTTTTTAAGTATAAGAGTTCGGTATAACTGCTTGACCTTATAAGGATAATAAAATAAGGCCAGCGTTCTCTTCTTATCCTCAGGTAGCCTCCCCTTACCCCTTTGCCATATGCTATATGAATCTTCTCAGCTTCTTTCTCTCTGTATTTAAGAATACAGACAAGCACCACTCAGAGAAAAGCTTTGTTTTGTGTTTGTTGTCCGTGTTCCAGGGCTGCTTGTTTTGTAACTCAATACCACACTCGGAAGATCTTTTGCCACGATGAATCTAGACATTCACTTTTTTTTTTTTAATTTTTATTAGTGAGACACCATGAGGTACAGTTGTAGACTTACAAATTTTTGTGCTTGGGTTTCAATTATACAATGATCGAATACCCATCCCTCCACCAGTGCCCATTTTTCACCACCACGGGTCCCAGTATCCCTCCCACCCCCCATCCTCCCCATCCCACCCTGCCTCTGTGGCAGCGCATTCCCCTTTGTTCTCTCTCTCCTTTTCAGTGTTGTGGTTTGCAAAAGAGGCATTGAGTGGCAATCATTTACTTTTAAGGAAAACTGCTTCACGTATTTCACAGAGGATTATCTGCTGCTAGGTGTTGAGATTGCTTGGAGTTTTCTCCAGTTTTAAGCATGCTCGTAGCAAAGATGTGCGTGAATGTTTCTCTGTGGACAGCAGTTTCTCTGGGTTAAATCATGAGAAATGAGCTTACTAGGTCCGGGAGGATGAGTCTTCCCTTTAGCCAGTTACTGCTCTTCCTGATTCCCATTTAGGCCTGTGACACTTTTAACCTTTTAGCCAAAAGTTACGTACTTGCTTTTCTGAGTCCTCTAGTTTCTAAGTTATTTTTACCCTAAGATACATTTCTTCTTTTAAAATACTGGGGCTGGAGTGATAGCACAGCAGGCAGGGCGTTTGCCTTGCACACACCAGGTTCGATTCCCAACATCCCATATGGTCCCCTGTGCACCGCCAGGGATAATTCCTGAGTGCAGAGCCAAGAGTGACCCCTGTGCATCGCCGGGTGTGACCCAAAAAGCCAAAAAAATATATAAAATACTTTATAGAGTTTGGATAGTTAGTATAGCAAATAAGGCACTTGCTTTGTATGCAGCTGATCTGAGTTCAGTTTGTGGTACCCCATACTCTGAGCACCCCCACCACAACCAGTAGTGGTCTCTTGAGTGCATAGTTAGGCGTAAGCCTGAGCACTGCTGGTGTGTACCCCCACCAAGACAAAGCAAAATAAATAAGATCAATTATCTAAATAATTTAGTCCTTATCAAAAATTTACTTAACTAAAATGTGGTAAAGTGACACCACTGGGTTGTCAATAAAGTGTAAGTACAGCAAGCTAAAACTCTGGGTGATAAAACGATATTTAAAATCTCCTCTAATTATTGGAAATTAACCATTGCATAGCTCTTATTCCTCTAGGACTTTACCTTGCAAGAGTAAATTCCTGAATGTGCAAAAGAATACTTTTATGGACTCATGCGTGGCTATTTATTGAATGATATAGATGTGAAATGGAAGGTAGATTTCCCATTAGTATAAACTTATATTTTGGTCAGGGCCAGCAAACAGAATAGATGAGCAAGCATTGATGTTTGCGGGGTCAGAGTGATAGTACAGTGATAGATGGTTGCATGCAACCAGCCCTGATTTAATCTTCAGCACTGTGAGTGGTCCCTGAGCACAGAGCCAGGACAAAGCCACAAGCACATCTCAGTATGACCCCCAAACAAAAGAAAACAAAAAAAGGGTATATATATGTGTGTGTGTGTGTGTGTGTGTACGCACACATATATATGTATATATACATCTAGTTACTGTAAAAAGGATACTTCACGCATGCATGTTGACAAAAAATTCATAACATCACGGGTGCACATCACAGTCCTCCCGTTGTTCATCAATTTGCTCGAGCGGGCCCAGTAACGTCTCCATCGTGAGACTTGTTGTTACTGTGTTTGGCATATCGAATACATCACAGGTAGCTTGCCAGGCTCTGCCGCGTGGGCGAGATACTCTCGGTAATTTGCCGGGCTCTCTGAGAGAGGCGGAGGAATCGAACTTGGGTCAGCCATGTTAGCTGCGTGCAAGGCAAACGCCCTACCGCTGTGCTATTGTTCCAGCCCAGATTCATAACAATCATTAAAAAAAGTAGTTGGAATATTTATCATGTGTAGGTCAATTATAGAAGTACTTGTAAGTTATGGTGCATCCATCTGCAGGCTACTCTGTGTTCTGAGGAAGAATGGGATCAGTATTCCTCCTGACTTAAACAGACGTCTGCAGTATATCTGAGAGAAGAATCAGCGGCAGAATTAGATGTGTAGTATTCCATTATGTAAGAATAGCAGACTGTGTGGGCTTTGCTGTGTGTGTTTTCGTGTTTCTATAAATACGCGTATTGGGGAGACCTACGAGTCAGCCATGGCATTTTCCTCAGGCATATTGGTATTTAGAATTGGTGTCTCCTTTTTTCTTTACAAACTTTTTTAGAATTTTTGACAGAGTTTGCAGGTGAATCACATTTGTAACATTAATGATCATGTACATAAGGAGAAAGGCACTAAAGTAAAAGTAGAATGTGGTAACTAAATCTACAGAGAAGGGAAGATGCTGTTTTTGTTTGTTTTGTTTTGGGGCCACACCAGTTGGGCTTAGGTCTTCTTGTGTGGGTGCTCCAGAGATCATATGGGGTGCCTGGGATTGAACTTGGGTCAGCCAGGTGCAAGGCAAGCACCCTACCCACTGTATTATCTCTCCAGCCCCATGTGGTCTTATGTGACAAAGGATAGATGCAGAATGATTTTTTAAAATTTGAATCTACTTCTTATGCTTTGCTTAATATATAGTTAATGGGTTGGAGAGAGAATTCAAGGGCAAGGAGCCTGTGCTGCATGCAGCTGGCCCTGGTGTGATCACCCAGCTCTGCAGTACGGTTCCTGAAAACTGTCAATAGTGAGCAGCCCTGAGCACAGACCCAGGGATAGCCCTTGAGCGCAGCCAGGTGTGACCCAACCTCCACCAAAACTTACATTCTTATGATAGCTGGCTACGTGCCAAAGCACATACGGTGCTTGGAATGCAAGAGTTATGGACAATAATTTGGCTGTGGATGGTCCTGTGAGGAGTCAAGGGCAGACAAGGGGATAAATGTGAGGCTGGTCTCAGGCATTCTGTCAACGTAGGGTAGTGAAGGGAAGGCTCGTAAGTGAATCTGAGTCTCTGCTTAGGGAGCAGAGGACAGAGTTATTAGGGCATATGGTGGAAGAGTGTCCAGGCAGAGCGAAACAGCAAGTTACAAGTTGGGGAATATGTCTTGGTTGGGGGCATAGCAAGAATATACTGCAGGTAAAAGAGAGGAACATAGACAAGTCAAAATAGAAGGTGTGCATGAGATGCGGAGCAGGAAGAAGAACTAGAGGAAGGGAGTCTTCTGGGCCCTCGTAAGACACATCAAGAACTTGTTCTAGGTGAGATAAAAAGGAGGAGTGGGAGGGAAACAGGGGCTAAGGCACATGCCTTGCGGGTGATGGCATTGCATGGCCCCTCCGAATGCTGCCAGGTGCATCTCTGGATGCCCCCTTGCCCCTCCCTGTGCAATGCTTGGGTGTTCTGGGTAATCACTGGCACCGAGGAGAAGCATTATATCCTTGGGCCCTTGCACTGAACTGTCAGCCTGGTTGACTGAGAACAGAAGGGACCAGCCTCCTGACCTCTGCTCAGCAGTGCCCTCCCCATCTCCGACCATGGAAGTAGAGATCTGGGGTTTGAGCTAAGGATTGACATGGTCTGGCTTAGGTTTTAGCAGGATCCCTCTGGCTTTTATATTCTAGAGACCAAATGTGATAGAGAATGGAGGAGCCTAGAGAAGCAGGGATCTGGAGGATTGCTGTCGTCTAGGCAGAAAATGCCGGAAGCTTCCATTGGGTAGTAAGTGAGGTTGGAAGTGACAGATTCTGTATTTACTTTGTAGAGCCATGAGAGGTAGACACAATGAAATGTGGGATGGTGAGAGGTGCAGAATTAATTCTTAGGCTATGGGTCATGTCACTGGGAAAGTGTGAGAGTAAGTGAGGTGGGAGCTGATTTGGGTAGGAAAGATGAGAACAATTGTTTGGACTTCAGGGGCCTAGCTTAGGCCATTTGGAGATAACTTGTAGTCAGTGAGATGAGTGAATCTCGACACAGAGATTTCTAGACTGGAAACAAGAGTAAAAGCATCATTGATCTTACATTGATACTCTTACACTTAATCAGAATCCTGAGGTATAAAAGAGATCACCAGGAAATAAATGTCAGGAGAGTCCCAAGAACTGTGTCCTATACTTAGAAATAATCACAAAGGCTTGATAAACTTTTTATTTATGTATGTATTTATTTTATTTTGTAGCCACACATGACAGTGCTCAAGGTCTACAGACTATATACTCAGGATGACTCTTGGCAGTCTTGGGGGGTCATTGGGGGTGCCGGGGATCCCACCCGGGGTGGCTGCATACAAGGCAAATATCCTACTCACTGTACTACTGCTTCGGCCCCCTTGTTAAAATTTGTAACAATAGTCAAATCTTAGATCATCATTTATCTTATTTAATATACTTAAAGATTGTTTGAATTTTTGTGATTATCATGTGTTTAGAACAAAACAGGAATTTATGTCTTTGGAAGAGATTAATTACAATATGCAAAATCCAAAAATTTCTTTCAGACCCATGAATGTCTTACTATTCCTATTTTATTGAAATCTAATAATAATGCACTTTCTTTATTAAGTGAATTTTATACAATTACTTATCTAAGCGCATAGAATATTTGTGGGTCAGATGTAAATTTATTTTAGTTATAATATATTTGAAATAAATATTAATTTTAGCCTACTTGCTTAGCTCTTACATTGTTTGACTGTTTAGATAATATGGAAGCATTTATTAATGCAGATGCTTTATTATTTCACCATCCCTTATGATGACAATTTAGTTGAATAGACTACTGAATTAGTAAACAGGAATGCTTTTAGGTGATGGAAGCTACTCTAAACTCCTAGGGTTATACTCTCCCATAACATAGTCACTTACCATATCTGCTTATTGACCACTTGATATGTGGCTAGTACAAATTGTGATGGATCATAAATACATATTAAGAGATTTTTAATGCATAGTATAAAGAAAAGCATACTGAATACCAAATTTGTGTTTTATTCTGATTGCATATGGAGATGACAATATTTTGAATATATTTGGTTATTAAAGTATTAAAATTAATGTTACTCTCAAAGTTTTTTTACAAGGCTACTAGAAAACAAAAATTATAGATACAACTTACATTTCATTTCTGTTTGGCCATGTTGAGGCATAGCATGGACTTTTTAATGGCCTATGAGCTTTTTAATGGCCTATGGGCTGGAACGATAGCACAGCGGTAGGGCGTTTGCCTTGCATGCAGCCGACATGGCTGACCAGAGTTCGATTCCTCTGCCCCTCCCGGAGAGCCCGGCAAGCTACCGGGAGTATCTCGCCCGCACGGCAGAGCCTGGCAAGCTCCCCATGATGTATTCGATATGCCAGACACAGTAACAACAAAGTCTCCAATGGAGACGTTACTGGGCCAGCTCGAGCAAATCGACAAACAACGGGAGGGCCTTTACCTTTAGGCTGGAGTGATAGCACAGTGGTAGGGCATTTGCCTTGCGCACAGCCAGCTCGGCCGAGCTGGGTTCGATTCCTCCGCCCCTCTCGAAGAGCCTGGCAAGCTACCGAGAGTATTCAATATGCCAAACACAGTAACAAGAAGTCTCACAATGGAGACGTTACTGGACCCACTTGAGCAAATCGATGAACAACGGGAGGACAGACAGACAGATGAGCTCAAAATCTTTTTTATAATGCTAAGTGATTAAAAATAAAAAGTTTGGCAATGTTTATCACTAACTACATTGCAAAAATATTTATTTAATTAAATAATTATATTTTTAATATTTTCAAAATCCATTCTATTCCCTTATATTAGTCCATACATAATATCTTCAGTATTGCCTTTTAGCTTGCAAAGTTAAAAGAACTTCACCCTCTAGAAAGGTCACTGCTCTCTGCTCTGGAAGACCAAGGTTAAGTTCTAGTTCTTTCCTTTTTATTCCTTACTATCCTTACCAGATTCCTAATAACTCCAAGGTAGTGTTGTCATTTGTAACTGAGGATAGTAACTTCACTTTCAGTATTATTATGTGGACATATGAGAAATTGTGTATCTTGAGGACTTTTAAATGTCAAAGTTCTTTTGAAATAAGTTCATTTTCAAAAGTGCCTTTACCTCAGTACCAAATTGAGGTTTACTTTGTCCAGTCCTGATGAAATTAAATGCGAATGTGTCTTTAATGAGATTTGCTAAATGGGTCCGTGGCACTTCTACTCATAGCCCTTTCCTGTGCTCTTTCCTTGAAGTTGAACGGAGAAGAAGATTTAATATAAATGACCGAATTAAAGAACTAGGTACTTTGATTCCCAAGTCAAATGATCCGTGAGTACAATTGCATGTTAATCTGCATCATATATTTTTTGTGCCTTTAAGTTTTTTCATGTTGAAAAAAAGTGCAGAGTTATAAAAACTAGAGTAAAGAAATCCTCCCTCCCTCCCTCCCCCCCCTCAGGTTCCACTCCTATATACTTTTATACTTTCTATACCTTTCTTTTAGTTTTATCAAACTAAATTTTTGAAAAGAAAAACTGAATTTACAAAAAAAGTGTTGCATACAAGATATTTAGCTTTGTTTGTAAAAAGGTGTCTGTCTTAAATAATGAGACTCCTCAGATATAAATGAAAAGATATTTAATTATTTTAGCAGTTCATGCAATAAAGAGCTATCAATAGCATTAAGGTATGATTTGTTGGCTCTTTTTGTTTAACATTGACAGATTAAGAGTGGATACTGGAGACCTCAGGTTTAATAATATCCAATAGACCGAGGTCAATTATTTTTTGAAAATTTGCATGCCTTTTCTGTTTTACTAATCCAGGAGGTTAAGAGTAGTTTATAAACCTCTTACAAGTACAGATCAGCTCATTTATATTTCAGCTTTCAGATTCTCTCCTGTTCCTTATTTCAGAGATAATAGTTGTAAAGATAATTTTCTTGCCAGCCACGTCAGCAAATAGGACAACAAATACACAATTTTTATCCATTAGAAATTGGCCCATTTGAAGTAAGGGGCTAGCGGATATATACGTTTTAATGACTCCCACCGGCATTCTATGAAATTAGCCTTTGAATATGACCTTTTGGCTACCTAATAAAATGTAAAGATGAAATCAAGCATTATTCATGCAAGGCTTATTAAATTTGCTATTCACATTATTGTCAGGGAATTTGTGGCAAAATAAAATAAAACCATTCCCCATTGTGAGGTGGTTTTGATGAATGTTCAAGCACAATTTCCATCTTCAACGTTTTGCTTTCCCCAGGTTTCAAGGAAAGCCGTTTCAGAACTCAAACTATTCAGATTCTCAGTTCTGCAGCTCAGATTTATTCTACTACTAAGGGGCTGTGACCTTCATTTCCCATAGTCAGTCTTGCATGATAGTTGAAATTGAATTCCCGTTTTCCTGTTCTTTATCAGCTTCCACTTTTTAGCATATTCTTTTAAACTGTAGCATGTGAATCTCTTTAGTAACATATTATGAAATTATGGGGCTGCAGAGAAAGCCTCTATTTGCATATCTTCTTTCTCCATTGTATTAGAATACTTATGTGTTTATAATCTGAACTGATAATTATCTTTAATTGTAGGAATTGTTTTAAGATAAAATAGACCAATTCTATTGGGGGCGGGGGGGGGGGGGGTCCCACACCTGGGTTTTGAAATGGCCTTTGAGGCCGCTCTGAAGACAACATATTGTTGATTAGGGTCTTGGCCCTTGACCTCTTCTCTACCCCACATGAAACCCTTTTACTGGGGGTCTGTATACACTGTGTGAAGAGAAAAGAGCATCCCTCTTATCATACACACACACACACACACACACACACAGACACACACACACACACACACACACACACACACACACACCAAAATGGCATCCCTGATTGATTAATTGGGTCTCACAAGGAAGCACAATCCAAGATAATAGGCTGAAATCAGCACACCTTAAAAATATATAAATAAAATGAAGGAGCTGCTTTTTCATATTTTAGTGCTGGTTTCTCACCTTGCTGTCTGGTTAAGGCATACTTCATTGTACTTCTCCCTGACTGCCAAAGTTTCTGTTACTTTGGTCTCTGCAAGTTGCTCTGTGTTCACTTTGAGTGTCCCAGGACACTTCCCTGGGTTGCCATCTTTGGTGCTTGGACCCCAGGGACCACCCTCAGGGAATTCTCCAGGGGCTGTGACTCTGCCTCTCATGGGAGAGCTTCTGTTTTGTTCGTCAACTAACCCATATGAGGATCAATTACTTGGTGGCTTGTTTTAATGGCCCTTTGTCACACATCCCACCTGACACTTCGATAAGCTTTTAGCAGCTGTAAATTATGAAGTGGTATTTGTTTTCTTCTTTTTCCTTGATTGTGATCATCGATGAACAACAGGAGGACAGTGCTACAGTGATCATCCAAAGTTTTATCTTTGAATGATCCAGATGATTTAAAGCCCTGTAGAAATGTTAAATAATATAATGTCATTTTTAGCTATTTTTCTGGAGTACTCTCAGTATTTTCACTCATTTTTACCTACAGTTTAATGGCAGCCTTAATTTTATCCTTGATGAGTACATTCAGCTACAGTGGTTGACAAAAGTCACTAAGCTTGGTCTACCTGGGTTTGAATTCTAAAACTGTTCCTTAGGGAACACATGACTTAGAGGAGAAGACTCAAAACCTTGTGCTTCATTTTCCTCATCTATTACAGAGAGAAATGGGGTCTGAATATTCCCTCCTAGTTTAGTTGCTCTGAGGACTCAATCACATAATAGGAACAATGGTATTGTGGTTTAAAACAGTGTTTCTAAACTTTTTTCCATGGCTATAGCTTCCTATTTATGAGATTTTGTCTGTTCCCCCCTCCTTGAATATATTGGGGGTTCATATGGCCCCCAGTTTAGAAATAAGATACAGACTCTGAAGCAAGATTATCTAGGCTTCCTGAATTTACCAGTTTCTTGCTGTGTGACCTTGAATGGGTTACTTATCTCCTCTGTGTCTTGGTTTCCTTATTTGCAAAGTGGGGGTAATATCAGTGACTACACATCAAGGTTGTTATAATTAAATAAACCACAAAATACTTTTCAGAGATCCTGGCACCTGGGAAGTGCCATTTAAAGCTAACTGTTCAGTCCTTTCCATGCCGTCTGCTCTATTGAGTTGCATGCTAAATATCATGTACATATGATTTCAATAATTTATATACATGTGACCACTAAACAAGTTTGGTATCACCATTTTATACATGAGGGAATGGACACACAGAGAAGGTTAGGTAATTTTCCTATGAAAATGCACGGTAAAAATTCAGTGATGTCATATTCATTCCATATTTAATCAAATATGGGGTTTGGTAGACTTTTTTTTAAACCCATGGCTTAATTTTGTCTCCCTGGGTGTATTAACTTTAATAGTCCTAGAATAGTGTTTAAAAATACTTTATAATCAACAAACCTATTAAGCCCAGATTCTCCCTTACAGTAACTCTGTGACCGAGGGCAAGTCAGCTAATCTGTTTCAACACTTCAACAACATCCCTCCCTTTCAAAGTGCTTGTCTGGGTGAAGAAAGATAAGTGTAAGAAGTGGGTGGGCAGAGCTCAACACATGGCAGCATTCATTCAGCTAATGATAGCTATTATCAACTTATAATTGTTACCATATCCTTAGAAATTGAATGCTCTGAATATTCTGAATTTTCATTGAGCCTCAAATCCTATAAAAGTCCATTTCCTTCCATTTTCTTTACAGAGACATGCGCTGGAACAAGGGAACCATTTTAAAAGCATCTGTTGACTATATCAGAAAGCTGCAGCGAGAACAGCAACGTGCAAAAGAACTTGAAAACCGGCAGAAGAAGTTGGAGCATGCCAACCGGCATTTGTTGCTCAGAATCCAGGTATACAACACTCATTGTACAGCGTTGACTCCACATTATTGACTGTCCAGTGGGAGAAGAAAGGTGATAGTGAGCCTGGAGGGAGTTGCTGCGATCCATGACCCTACTGAGACATACTCATTATTCACTTTTTCTGAATTTGCCCACTCTGGCTACAAATATATTTGCAATTGTCAAATCAGTGTTTTATGGCCTCGTTGTTGTCATTTGCAGTCAGGTGCAGAACACTCAACAGGCTAGAATTGTCCATAGACTGGTCTCCAGCTAGGACTGGATCAGGCAAAGCTCTTCATTCTCCTTTCTGCACATTCTAGTAAGCAAGTGCCCTTTTGTCAGCTATTCGGTATCAGTTTTGTTTTTCATATCTTTGTATGTTTTTATTGGTGACTTCTCCAGATGACCTTTAAGCCTAGAGCTGAAGGACTCTTAAGTTGTATTTCTAAGCAACATTGAGGGCTGCAGGGTCCCTTATGCAGTCGAGCTTGTCCAGGCATGAGAGAGTGCTGTGGCATGAGTCAGCTACACATCATATCAGGTATCCTTCAACAGAAGCACACAGAAATAAGGCTGCATGTGGATTAGCTGGTGAAAGATCACCAGAAACATGTAGGAACCGAGTCCTATATTTCCTTTAGGAAGAGTGGTTCTGTTTTCACTAACTCAGGATTCACAGTGATTTGTCGGTCACAATATTCTTGGTCCATTTGTGCAGCAATAAAACAAGTAGCAGAGGCTGGTTTAGACAACAAGAACTTGTTTTCCACACTTCTGGAAGCTGGGGAGTATCAGACTAAGACACTGGCAGATTTGTGTGTGATAAGAACTTTTTCATTCACAGACAGATTTCCTTTTGCTGTGTACTTATGTGCTGAGGATGCAAGGAAAATCTCTGGGCACATTTTGGGATGCATGGGTGGAAGGGTGTTTGAGCCACAACCAGCCTGCTCAGGAGTTACTCCTGGCTCTGCCCTCAGGAATCATTCCTGTGAGCTCAAGGATCATATGGGACTCCTGAAATGGAACCCAGGTCACCCACATGCTAGGCAATCGCCTTACCTGCTGTATTCTTTCTGGTTCCTCTGTGGTTACTTTTTAATAAGGACTCTAATTCCATCCATGAGTGCTTGACTCTCAGGATCTAACCTCCTAAAGCCCATCTCCAAAGAACATGACTTTGGTGTCATGGAAGAATAACGTGACTTTGGTGTCAGTGTATGAATCTGGGGGAAAGAGCCCCAATATTCAGTGCATAGCAATAACTACCCTGTCTAATGGGAATTCACTGTAATTGTTGAATACGAAGGTGCCGTAGAATTTGAGGGCAGGTGTGGTGCTGAGCATTACCAAAACTCACATAGGGAACCTTTTCCTGGTGCTCCCCCCAGGATCTCATCACCAACATGTAAAATCTAGAAACCATTACAAATAGAGAAATCATGTCTTTATGTATCTTTCATGGGGAGAAATGTACTTTTACTATGAGGAATTCATCCTCCATTCCATTTAGTGAGGGTACATACGAGCATAAACATGAGATAGGAGTTCTCTTTTTAGCATCAGCTCCTGGTACTTCTCTTAGGCACTTTGCCTTCGTACCAAGTTTGCAAGGACATGACTTCCTCCTCAGCTCTTTGGAGAAAGTTTGTGAGAAGAATTTTCATTTACTTACTGACTCTGGAGGCAGCCCACCAATAAATGCAAGTGACAATACACATTCTTCTTGAGTATATAGACCCACTTTTACCAAATGGTGCTCTTTTCGAACAGAATAATACTGTAGTAATCTTGGTCTCTGGTCTTTCTAATGACCCAACTTGGTTTTCTTTTTTCCCTTGCTGCATCTCTGATTTCACCACAGGGTCTTTGGTTGTGGGGCCAGGAGGTGAGGGCATTTTCTTGAGTGCCTGTCAGCATTTCCATAGTGAAACAGAGGCAATATAGCACTGTAGCACTGTCCTGTTGTTCAGTGACTTGCTCGAGCAGGCACCAGTAACATCTTCATTGTGAGACTTGTTGTTACTGTTTTTGGCATATCGGATACGCCATGGGGAGCTAGGCTCTGCCACGTGGGTGAGATACTCTTGGTAGCTTGCCGGGCTCTCCAAGAGGAACAGAGGAATCGAACCTGGGTCGGCTGAGTGCAAGGCAAATGCCCTACCTGCTGTGCATTTTCAAATGAATATATCATTTGAAAATCCTTTCCTTCTTCCCTCCTCCATCCTTTTTTAGGCCTGTGTTTCATATCCTGTATCTTTATTAGCAGTCTCTGTGTCATTTGTCTCGAGCTCCATAGACCCACATATATTTATGAGTCCTGGAACTGATGTGTTTTTGCCTCTGACAAATATTAAAATATAGAAATGGCTGTTATATAACCATTTAGAAGAGAATCTAGGTTTTGCTTTATTTTAAGGGCCAAACATATCTGTTTGTGTAGAATATGAAAATTGTGAAGTCTGTGAATTGGAAATTCCATGATGATGATGTCTTGGTTTTCTTCCAGTGACAGAGGGAGACAGCCTTTAGAACTTTTTTCGGTTTTGTCTTTGCACCACACCTGCTGATGCTCCAGGGTTACTCCTGCCTCTGGCCTCAAGAATTATTTCTGGCTGAGCTTGGGGAACCGTATGGGATGCCAGGATCATATCCAGGTTGGCAGCGTGCAAAGCAAGCACTCTACCTGCTGTACTATTGCTCCAGCCCAGCAGCCTTTAGAACTTTTGAATATCATGAAAAAGATTATTAATTAGGAAAACGGCAATACAGTGAGCCCGTGTTCTCTAGATGAGATTCATCACATTGATGATGAAGCTAAGCAATGTTTTCATCAGCAGGTAAACATTGTAAGTGCAATAGCAAAGAATTAAAGTAAGGTATTTTCCTCTCTTAATCCAACTTAATTTTCAGTTGTTTTTGAAGACAGATTTGTGTCTGCTGTTCTTATTAGCAGGTAGGAGTAGATTTATAAGGGAGAGCGTTCTCCGTTTGGGCCCGTGGGCTTCCTTTCATTTTCACTCTGAAGTGATGCATGCAGAAATTTTCACAGAAGAAAGAGCATGAAACCTTAATATCATTGGAACTGCCATTTTATTAAATAGCTTAGGGCTCTAAACGATGCCTGGAGAGACTGGTGTTCCTGGAGGTGTGGAAAGCAACACGCTCGGGCCTGGGCGACATCTCCCGCTTTCATCTCTTACTTGAATTGCATCCAGAGAAAGACCTTCTAAGGTAGCCTTCGCCAGAGATGAATTTGGTGTTTCAGGAGCATATGTTTCGAGGCTGGTGGGCAAAGGTTGAGAGGTACAGCCTGCTGGAGAGTGTTTTTTTTTCCTCTCAGGAGAGATAAGGCAACTTGCCCCAACTTTGTATTCTGCTCTCTCCCATTTGTTAGAGCTCAAGTATAAGAAGCATTTGTCCTTGTTAGAAGCAGAATTGGGGCATCAGTTGATTTTCATGTAGGAGGATCCTGGGATACTCGGGACACAGAAACACAAGAGGAGCTGGTTTGAAGGGGCATTTTGAAGTTGGGTACTGAGAGTCTCTGACATGCAAGAAGGGGATTAGGAAGCTAATAAATATCTCAGATGCAGGTAGCATAAACAACAGAAATGAATTTTCTTGCAATTATGGCAGCTAGAAATCCAAGACCAAGGTTGGGAAGGGTTGGGCATTTTCCCAGGTCCTTTCTACAGAAGTAGTCAGTGGTTGCTTCCCCACTGTTTTCCTCACAGAGGAAAGAAACCTGTTGTTTCTGTGTCTGAAGCTTCTCTTATTTTGGATATCCTATTGGGTCTACCCTAATGCAGCCCCACTGGATATTGCGTTAGGGTCTACCCTAATCTATTTAATTGAATAACCTCTTTAAAGACACTATCTCCAAGTACAGTCACATTCGGAAGTACTAAGGTTAGGATGCTAATATGTGTATTGGAGGAACACACACATACACACACTCACTCTACTGTCTTTAATGGGGCGGATATAAAAAAAGTGTAGGAAAAGATTATTCTTCTTAGAGATAGAAGGTTACTTGTGGGTGGAGAGAAAACAAGACTGCTTTCTTTTGCCATTGTTCGACAGGTTAAGCATTGCTTCTCAAATTTAAGGTACCTGAGAGAACCTTCAGAACCTTGCCGTTACTAACCAGACTTTCTTAGGTCACAGTGCTTTGTGTCTTAGTAAAAAAAATTTTTTACCATATCTCTACACCAAAATCGAAAACAAAACAAAAAAATTGAAACAACAAAAACCCATACTATTTCAATTAGCTCCTGACTACTTAGTCTCCATATAAATTGCATGACAAATGTATTTCTGTTTTACATTAAATAACACATTACTTTTAAATGAGATGTGTCGTGCTGCACAAGTTCCCAAGCCTTTGAATCATCAGCCACTGCCACCCACATCTCCCATCTCCCAGTGATCTTCAGGCAGTTCTTTTTTTTCTCCTCTCTCTTTTTAGATCACAGCAAACACTAAAAAAATGCAGCGTTGCAATGTTATGATGTGATAGAAAAGAATTATGGCAGAATCTAATGCTGATGTAGTGGAATGTTTGCGTTTGACTGTTCCTGCAGGAGTACACCATTTCCATGGCAATTTTGGGTAGGGTACATGTGTCATGGATCAAACCCAGGGCCTCATAGCTCCAGCATGGAGCTACATTCCTGGCTCCTTGACACTTAAAAATGACCCCAGAGCTTCATGATTCTGTTGCAACATTCTGCACTATCTCAGCCTAGTCCAGAGACCATGAAACTATGTTATTATTTACTGAATAGTTTGCCTTCATGTGTTTAACTCATGCTCCCTGTGAACAGTAAGAGAACATCTTTATATTTAATGCATGAAAGTCTAACACCTAATGCCCTATCCCAGGCTTCTCACACTATGCTGAATTACAGTTATTTATTTATTTATGTTGCTCCCCAGCAGTGATCAGGTCCTCAGGGGTCACTCCCCCTGACACAGCCCAACAGTATCTGGCCTAACAATGTTCAGACTCCACCAGAGGTACACCTCACAGTACTGCAGTGACCATGTGACAGCAGGGGTTGAAAATAGGACCTCAGGCATGCACTCCAAAACCTTTGAATTATTTCTCCAGCCTCTGAATTAAGTCTTTTATAAGTAAATATTTATTTAAAAAATAGCAAAAAAATATACTTTTAATCATATGCTTCTTAAAAGTAACCACATATAGTTGCTATTGTTACCTATTTTATGTGCCTAAAAGAAATGTAGAACAGAACTTGAGAGAAGTTTTAGGCTCATAGCAAACTGAGTAGAAAGCTTTCAGATTTTGCATACGCTTCCGGTCCCCTCCCACTCTTCACAGTTCCCCTTTATCAGTCCCCATCACTGGAAGGAGGCAGTTGTGAAAATTGAAGAGTTTACTGTGATATGCCATAATCACCCAGAGACCTCACCCTTATCAGGGCTCACTCATGGTATAATACTCATCTGCATCTGGGCAACCGTCACTGCATCAAATGCAGAATAGATTCACTGCCCCAGCTTCTCTGGGCTCCAGATTCAAGTGTCTGGTTTGTACTTTCATTTTAGGAACTTGAAATGCAGGCTCGAGCACATGGACTTTCCCTCATTCCCTCCACTGGTCTCTGCTCTCCGGATCTGGTGAATCGACTCATCAAGCAAGAACCAGCCTTGGAGAACTGCAACCAAGACCTTCTTCAGCACCACGCAGACCTAACTTGTACCACCACACTAGATCTCACCGACGGCACCATCTCCTTCCACAACAACCTGGGAACGGGGACCGAGAACAGCCAAGTCTATAGTGTCCCCCCCAAAATGGGATCCAAACTGGAAGACATCCTCATGGATGATACCCTTTCCCCCGTCGGAGTAACGGATCCCCTTCTGTCGTCCGTGTCTCCAGGAGCCTCCAAAACCAGCAGCCGCAGGAGCAGTATGAGCATGGAAGATGCAGAGCACGCCTGTTAGCCAGCTGCCCTGCGCTACCCTCACAGACTGCTTCCTTTCTTGATTAGTAGATTTAATAATTTACCTGAAGGGTTTTTTTTTCCATGATAATTTTCCTTTAATATGAATTTTTTTCATGCTTTATCAATAGCCCAAGATATATTTTATTTTTAGAATTTTGTGAAACAAGACTTGTATATTCTATTTTACAACTACAAATGCCTCCAAAGTATTGTACAATGAGTGTACAGTATCTGTGAACTGAATTCACCCTGGACTTTAGCTTTCTGAGCAAGAGGATTTTTTTGCATCAGAGCAATTTCTGTCCATTTTTATTCAGGGGAAACTTGGTTTGAGATTTTTATGCCTGTGACTTCCTTGAAAATTAAATGTAAAATTTAATTGAAAGAATGTAAGGTGGCAGAGAGAGAGAGAGAGAGAGAGAGAGAGAGAGAGAGAGAGAGGAAAGAGAGAGAGAGGGAGAAGAAAAGAAATTCTTGCAATTTTATTCCTTCCTGTTTTATAAATGTATTCACTCGTTGGTACTGCCTTAAAGATACAGTACCTAGCATCATTTAGTCTTTGTACTACAAACTATTTAAAGAAATACTATATTCAGTCAAAGAAAAAATATACTACAACCATTTCTTTGAGGATAGTATGATTAGAGAACATAACTTATCCCTTACTTAGGTACAATGGAAATGGAAAGGAGACAGACCAAGGCTCAGAAATGTGGGATCTACCCTGGCTTTTTTTACTATGTGCTCTGTTACAGTTTTCCTTTTCAATGCGATACAGTTTTTCAGAAGATATATTTTATTTAGAAATGGAAATTAATGTCTCAAAGTAAAGTATTGAAGAGTAATGAAAGTTTGACATTTTTATTTTTTTTCTCTTTTGATAAGAAAACTAAACTGGGCACATTTCTAATTGGCTTTAGTTTTTTTATTTTTAAATCATTTCATTGTTCATTTGATTTGTACAGATTCCTTATTATCATCATTCTTTTCAATATGTTTGTATTAATTTGTAAGCAAATGCATCGTAAAATGACAAGTTTTCAATATTTTTACAATTCACTGGTAGTTTTCTGCATCCTTTATACACACATGAAAGAAAACTTTTATGCAAGGTTTATGTTTGAAGAGAGCTTTGCGAATATTTTGTATATTACAATCTCACTCAGAACTGTTTTCCACACATTTAAGGTGTAGTATTAATAGGTTAAAACCAGCTTTTTAGAGATAAACTTACCTATTTATTTTTAGTGATATAAAAATAGCAATATTCTTGGAGACTGATACCTGTAGTGCTAATACACCCAGTATGGTCCTAAAAATTGGGCTTTATTTCAGCAAACTTGCTGAGTGTTTTTTAAAAGAGAGGAATACTGTATTGGCAAATTACTGTTACTTGATAACAATGTTTAACAAGCAGCAATGTTGTAAAGTTAGTTTCAGTGCATTATCTACTTGTGTAGTCCTATGCAATAACAGTAGTGTTACATGTATCCTATCAGTCCTAGATGTTTTATACAGATGACATATGGTGTTAAGAGGCAGGCTGCTGAATGGAATTTCTCAGTAGCAGCCTACAGTTGAATAGCTAGTGGCATAATGCATATCCATTCAGAATGAAGTGCCTTAAATATAGCAGTAGTCTTTTTTGGACTAGCACTGACTGAACCGTAATATAGGAGAAGGTTTCAAGATGGTATCTATAGTTAAAAAGAACGTATAGCATGGTGCCTATGTAGACAATATAAGAGCTTCCAATTTTCCCTCAGATATTTTTAATATTAAATATATTTTAGTGACAGTGCCAACTTCTTTCATCAGAGAACCTTATTCCAGAGGGTTTTTTAAAAAAAAAATAAAAAAGATAGAAAATGAATTTAAATATCAAATGTGAATTGGTGATGGGTGTTGGAGGGTTCAGATAGAAGGAGTGATTGTAAGATGTGCTTGAATGGATGGCTTATACAAAATCGTTCCATTGGAGATTGGACAGTGAGAATCCTTGAAACCATTGATGATGCTATCGTTTTTATAGCTTTATTACTTAAGGGGGTAGGGAAAATTTGTTCCCATTCTTTCAACTCCCTTAATTGTATAGCCCTTTTCCTAGAATAGTGATGCAAATATGCATGAACAGCTAATTGTACCATAGTATTCATTGATACAATCATAGCATTGTCTATTTTTCTCTTCATATTTATATGGGGGGAAGGGGTGTTGAGTGCAAATGTCGAAGATTGCGCTGGTATGATGCGAGTTTTCCTTAGCTGATTTTGATTGGGTCTTAAAATAAAGCAAGGTTTACTCATCCAGTGACCTAGAGACTATGGCCCTGGTTGAGTAACTTAATAGAAAGCATTGTTGAAAGAAATGGCATCTTGTACCACTGCCCTGGCCCGCAACTCCTGAGCTCACCATTATCTGTGTTCATTCCCTTTCTTAAGAGACAATTTCTGGGAGTGACAGATGAATCGGCCAGGAGAATGCTGAAACCTGTGGAGTGGTTTTATTTATTTCTTTTTTGCCAAACAGAGTGTGGATTCATCTTAGGACCTTGTTCAGCCAAGAGGCAGTGATTTGGGCTTGTCATTTAGAACAGTAAGAGAATGATCCATACCACTCCCCAGCCCCTGGGTGCAGAATTTTGACTCGGGGTTGGGCCTTTATTTGGAGTGACCAAAATGCCAAACTTGTCCACCTGCCTTTAGATAAGGCAATGGAAATACCAAACCTTCTGACTTTGCCAAAAAAAAAAATACAACCAACCTGGTCATACATAGGATAACAAAGTTTCTTCTGGTTGTTTTTAAATACTAAAGCAATAAGAACAAATTAAGTACATCGGAAATTAAAAAGACATGAAATAAAGCACAAAGGAATGTACTTACTAATATTTTTAAATGCACTGGGGGAAAGTTGATGTTAATAACAGTATATATATATATATAAAATCCCTACTTCTTGAAAAAAATGACAAATTACTGTCTCTTGCGGACGCTTGGTACTGTAATGTTAATAATAGTCATTTGCTGTTGGATGCAGCAATAATTTCTGTATGGTCCATAGCACTGTATATTATGGATCAATATTAATGTATCCAATGAAATAATTGAACTGTTGTTCTTGATAGCCTCATTAAAACATTTGGTTTTTCACATAGTGGTGGCCAGTTGTGTTTAGTTAATGCCAATTTTGAGTATTGTTTGCCTTATCAAAAATAGTAGCACATATTTTCCTCTGATTTAATGAATAACAAATTGTATGAAGAAATTTTAAGTGCCAATTAAGTACTTTTTTTTGTTTTAAATGCCACTCTAAGATGTTACTTTTGGTTTAAACCATTTTTATTAATTTATAAGTTACACTTGAGTTAGCTATTGCTATACACCTTTTTTTTCACCTCCAAATTTTAGGAGATTTTAAACTTCCAAACATCAAAAATTCATTTTAGATACAGGAGTTTCATTTTTAATTGTTTTCAGAGAGAGCTTTACAAAAAGAAATTGTTAGAGACACCTTTGCATATTTAAGGAAAAAATTGAATTTTTAAAATACAAATGTACAATAATGAAAGCTTACTATACCTCAGTTGCCAACTCCTGACTATTGCGTTGTGTTTTTTTTTTAAATACTATACTTAAGAATCATTTGATAAATGTTGGATTTGACTTGGAAAGTGTCAGACAAAACATGTCTTTATTCCCTAGCTAGACCTTAAACTTATGCCCTCTTAACAAAATATTCTGGTTTAACCTCTAGAGAAATGAACAAGAAAGATCCTACAATGCTTTTGATCTGGTTGTCAGCTTTTTCTGGTTTGATATTTTTCTTAAATTGTAATATACAGTAATTGAGCCATTTCTTTTCCAGAGTGATTTGAATGATTTATATTTCCCATAGAAATGTGATTGTATGCTGTCTTTCTGTATAAAATAATTTTGGGGGCAAAACTGACAACAGGTAAGTTGAAAATTCGGGCTCTTCATCTCAGGAATTCTGCAGTAAGAGTTTAACCCAAGTTTCTAACCTGTTGTTTGCCTAGTAGCCGTCATCTCACAATTTCTAAGAATCCTTCATCTCTCATCTCTAGTTATTTCCACCCTTTACCACTCCTGCAATCAACCCCACGTAATTATGTGTTACAGCATTGCTTCCTGAATACCAGAATACCAGATACTTGTTTGCCTAAACCTTGTGTGACTTCATTTGACACACACACACACACACACACACACACACACACAGATTCATATTTCTTACTGTTTTTATTAAGTGTATTCAGTTTTTCTAAGTTTATGAGATGAAATCATTTGAGCTCTGCTAAACTTCCTGAATTTGAATCTCAGTAGCCCATTTAGCCCACTGTGTGGATTTCAGTAGGTTACATAGCCTTTCTGTGCTTACAATTTCTTTTGCTCATTGGAGGTAACAAAACTAGTTACCACATAGTCATCTTGTGAGGGCCATTCAAATATACTTGAATTTTTGTTGGTAGCACCTAACAATATTCTATTAATGGTAGCTATCATTATATTGTCAGCATACTCACCTTTGTTATTAAAGTAGAAAATTTTCTCCTGACCACTAAAATCATCTTGTATCAGCACTGAGAATGCTGATTATAGCATACAGTGGCTAACATTTGTGTGATTTGAAAAGGTGACAGAAATCCATGTCTACCAATTTGAGAATAGGACTTTTCTGTCTCTAGGACCAAGGATGAATAGAGAATATTAATAAATTCAATTAATCACATTTGAAAAATACCTTCAACGTAAATGTCCTAAAATTTAAATTGTATAAACTTTTACATCCTGTATGCCTCTGCTGCAGGAATGTTACCCTTTATTTTATTTTCAGAAAATATGCTTGCTAAAGCTAAAACACTATTATTATATTCCTAAACAATTGCACCTTTTAATCTTTTATGATATACACTGATGTGATATATCTAGAGTAGTGTCTCAACCCTATCCTATATCTCTTTACTTCCTGTATCAATATTTAAATGTTTTTCAGGTTTTTATTTTTAATTATACTTACATTTGATGACTTCTTTGGAACACCATCTGAGGAGCTAATCTTCATGATCCAGCCAACATAACTGAACCTTTAAACCACCCTGTTTTTATTTTTTGTGTTCGTATGCCAAGATTTATGCATAGCCAAGTAGCATGATGAGTCTCATTTAAGAAGAATGTTGTAAAGTTAAATTTTCATTATATTTAGAGAGAGATAGTGATGATCTTATAATTCTTAACTGCCATCTCTGGGGCTCAGTAGCAGTACCTTCATGTCCTTACCCATACTAATAAAAATTACTAATATGCACATGTGCAGAATAGAAATGTAGATGCTTCCAGTCACTTCTAGTTTTCGCCAAGAGGCATGTAACACAAGGAAGGGAGGGTTGAGGGAGTGAGAAAGGAGGAAGGAAGGAAAGAAGGAAGGAAGGAAGGGAGGGAGGGAGGGAGGGAAGGAGGCAGGGAGGGAGGACAGACATTTACTGTATTTAAAAAGCCTAGGCCCTTGTTTATACATGCAATTTAGAAATAGCTTCTCTTGTTTGTGTTCAGTATTTATAGGTCTTTTGAGTCTATTACCAATACCAGATACACTGGAAAGTAATATGACTATACCCACATCCAAATCTCAGCAACATGTCTAAATGGTAAAGGCAGTTTGCTTTTGAAAAATTTGCATTTTAAATTTCTAATTATGGAGTCAGTTGAAGTTATATCCAAATGGGTGCAATTGTCACTCAAAGTTCCTTACATATTATTCAGACAGCAAAATCTGTGTAGATAGAAACCACTAAACTAGTGTTTCCCAAACTTTGTTTTATGGAGCTGGTTTCACAAGCTGTTCCATAACTTACTTTGGGGAATTGGGGTTTTAGAGGTAGGGGTAGGAAGTGAAATGCTGTAGTTAAATGTAAAAAAGTAACTTTGGAAATGCTGTGATGGAGAAAGTTATAAAGGTATCTCTACTGCAAAACTTCCCACTTTGTAAATATGCAAATATGCATTGAGAGGTTTCAGAACTGAGAATAAATAGTAAGATGTTCCCAGTCTAATTTGACCACTGATGGGTAGAAGTGGGGATAAGGGGTGCAAAGAGAAACTGAGAGAAACTGTGTGTGTGTGTGTGTATGTGTGTGTGTATAAATAGAAACTGTGTGTAGATAAACTGTCTCTCTGTGTGTGTGTGTGTGTGTGTGTGTGTGTGTGTGTGTGTGTGTGTGTGTGAGAGAGAGAGAGAGGGAGAAAGAGAGGGAGGGAAAGAGAGCTGCCAGTTAATTGTTCCAAAAAACATAGTTTTGGAAATTTGGAGATGTTACAGAAAGAGTTAATAATTTCATTTTTTTCTTAAGGTAAGTGTGCTTAAATTTATTATTCTATAGATAGAAATTATTGCATTAAGAAGCTATTCCTGATTAAATAAACCACCTTAGGCTTTTTATTTTCAATTAAAATGTAATATTCTAGTGAAGGCAATATTGACATGAAAGATAATAGTGTTTTTATTTTTCAGGACTGTAGCGATAGTACAGTGGGTAGGGAGTTTACTTTGCACACTGCTGACCCGGGTTCAATTCCCAGCAACTCACATGATCCCTCTCATGGTCCCTGAGCACTGCCAGGAGTGATTCCTGAATGCACAGCCAGGAATAACCCCTGTGCATCGCTGGTGTGCAAAGCAAAACAAAAAACAAAAAAACTAGTGTTTTTATTTTTCGTAAAAATATATTTTCTTGTTAGGCTTACATCAACTGTAACTTTTCTATGAGTGTTCAAGAGAAAATCTTATGTTATTTATCTTACCACTTGGAATATTTTTTAACACGAGGAGATCTTTGATACAGAGCAATTGGTTTGATAAGTTCTGCTTACTGATTTTTGGTGGAAGGAAGTTAGGAGAAATTGTGTAGTATTTGCATAGAAATAGTCTGGTTAGTGATATCTATTTTAATGCAAGCAATTCTTCCATTAAAACTAGTTTATAACCAGATAACCAGATTATAACTCAAAGGTTTAATTACTTATTGATAATAGATCAACTTAGAAAAGCTACTTTTATTATTAAGGACCTAGAGTATGGTATGCGCTTTACTCTGATGACATAATTTAGGTTTGGGGGGTTGGAGTTTGGGACATACCCAGAAGTATTCTGGACTAACTCCTGGCTCTGCTCAGGAACTGGAGCACAGAGAAGTATGGTACCAGGGATCAGACTGGGGTCAGCTGCATGCAAGGCGAGTGTCTTAACACACGGTACAATCTTTTTGCTTTACTCCAACTATTAGAATTAAAACACGCTTTACTAAGAAAAGTGGAGAAAAAACATATTCTATTCCTTATGAGTGAATCTTTCATTCAGTATCTTTTTAAAATACATAGTTTTCAGACCCCACTATATACTTCTAAAAATAAATACTCCACTGAGTAGTTTCACTTCAGGGTGATAGATTTAGTAACACATTGGTAGGTTTGGGTCCACAAAGTACAAATGCTATATTTAACTTTATGCATGCAGAATTCAGAGCTCACATTCAAAGGATTGAAAGCATTTGATATGACTAACTGTCATTTTCTTGAATCTGCCCCACTTTCTGCAGGTGAATCAGCTCCATAAGGAACCCTCTGGCAATTTCAAAGTCCAGTTGAAAGCCAGCACTTTTTTCCTAGTTGCTATGGCAAAGTTCCTGAATTAGTTCTGTTCAGGTTGACTTGAATGTCATCAGTATGGCCAGACGATGGAACAGAACAATTGACTGGATTTGGGGTCCTAAGGTACATTTTATTAGAGTCACTCAGTAGCACATAAAAAAGGGGACCTTGGAAGAAAGGGAGGTGGGATTCACCCAGATTTTTACGTGATGCTGTTTCTGCAGTGGGGAAGAAAGTGTTCTAGTAGGTGAAACAGTCCAAAACCATCACTGTAGATTGCAAGATATTTGGGCAAGTTACATTTTTCCAGTCTGTTGTCCCTCCTGGATCCATCAATTTGGCATTTTTCTTCGACTTGAGTATAGGATGGTGGAAAGGGAAGGAGAGAAGATGTTAAATCCCAATAGCTGTTTCTCCCTCACTTATGGCTAAATTGTGCCATTCAGTTGCATGCTATGTAGAGATTCTAAGACTCAAGCTTTGCAATGA